TATTTCTTCGCAGTGTTGGAGTTCTTCAATTTCATCTACTTTTTGGTGTCTGCAAAATGGTACAAATACAAAGAAACAGAGGATTCTGTCTCTTCTTCCCCTGAATTGGCCATGGAGAAAATCCATCCCGGAAGAACAAAACTTTGTTTGATTAGAAATGTGTAAATTCTTCATTAGCAATTCCAGATTTTGGTGTTATTAGGGTTCTCTACATCTGTTTGTTGCTATTTTTTGAACTAGCTAGAAGGTAAAGAAGATTTTCATTCTACAATGGTAAGCTTTTTGCAGAAAGTTTGATATCCTTTCTATTGTTTTTCACTTACAAATTATTCCCTCCAACCCTTATTATAAATCATTTTAATTTGTCCTAATTTTCATCTAATATGTTTTTCTAGTTAAAAATAAAATCTTAAAAATATATTTTTACATTATGTTCTCCCAATTATTATAAAATAGTTTTAAAGTGTTATTTTCTATTAGAAGAATATATTAAAAATGACTTATAATAAGTTCCGGAGGAAGTATATATGTATTTGCACTCACTCTGTTCTAAAATTATTGTCTAGTTTGAGATTTCACTTTTAGTATAATTTGAACTAGAAATGAAAACTCAAACTGGACAATAATTATGGACGGAGGGAGTATCTCTTAAGTGGTAATGAGCAATTGAAACAACTAGTGAAAGGTTCACACTGCTTTATCAGGTTTTGCATTAGGACCAATGTAACAATCATCAGTTATTGTTTATCAATACAACAGTATCGAATGGAACGGTTTGATTATGGGTACAACTTATTGTAGACTTCTGGTCTGATGTCTAATTATCTGCAGGTCTTAACAGGAAAAATTGGCCGATTTACCCTAACCTTTATATGCATTGTTAATTCTATCCTATTCTTTTTCGATTAGTCAATATTACCCTAAGCTATTCAACCGTTAGCCGTTTTGTCTAATTTGATAATTTCCATTTAAATTAACAGATTTTCTGTTAGTTTTAGTTACAAAAATATCCTAATAGTTTTAAAAATTATAAAAATGACCCTCAAAATTTGTAAAAATAACAAAATAGTCTCTTTTCACTTTTTATTTAATTTTTTTTCTGTTTTCTATTTCTTTTTACTATTTTTCATAAATATAAAAATATACTATATGATCTTTTAGAATAAAAATTTATTTTTAAACAATACTGCACAAATTTATAGATATACATATTTGTAATTCATGGTTGATTTACATAAACATATTAATTTTTTTAATACTATGGCTAGAAAATAATGATATTAGTTTTCTAATCCATTTTTTTCAATTTAAAGAATAAGATTTTTTTTACTAAAACTAATTTTTTACAAAAATTAAAAAATTTAACATAGATTAAAAAATAATCGGCCAAATTTTCTGTTTTATGAGAGTAGATATAAGATTAAGTCTCACCAAAGGATTTCTAACCGGGAGAGTGATTTTATTTATATTTAAGCGGGATCCACTAAAGGCGAGAGGGTTAGATGGTCAGGTGATTTAGGATGTGAGATAAAATTACTGTGTTCGATGTCTCGATTCTCATTGGGACAATCTATTTTTTTTATAAAAAAAAAGGTGGAGTCCAGTACTGGAATAGATTTTTTTTATATTATTTTTTCTTTAAAAATAGACTTTCTGCTAAAATTAGATATATTAATATCTCAAAAAATTATTACAAAATGTTAAACCCTCGCAATGATAAATATAAATATTTTTTTATAAAATATTTTGTACTATTTTTGTAAATGTCATGACACTATATTCTTGTGTTGGGCCAATGTAGAAATGAAATAGGTGTGTTTATTTTTTTTTACTTTCTTTTCGTACTTGGCCTTTTACAGAAAAATTTATATTTTAGTTTTAATTATTTTTAAATTTTATGATACAATCTAAAGTCTGTTAAATTAAATTATAATACATGAAAGTATACCAATAACTTCTTTTTTAATCTATGCTAAATGTGTTATTTTTTTTGTGCAAAATTAGTTTTAGTTAAATAATCTTATTCTTTAGATTGAAAAAAATAGATTAAAAAAATAATATCATTACCGTTAAACTATATTATTAAAAAAATAATATGTTTGCGTAAATTAAACATGACTTACAAATATCAAATTATAAATTTGTACATTAGAGTTTAAAAATAAATAATTTTTTTTAAAAGATCATATAGTATATTTTTATAGTTATGAAAATGTTAAAAAGAAATAGAAAACAAAAGAAATTAAACAAAAACTGAAAATAGACGGTTTTGTTATTTTTATAAATTTTTTGGGTTATTTTTATAATTTTTAAAATTATTAGGGTATTTTTATAATTAAAACAAATAGAATTCCGTTAATTTAAACGGAAAAGAGCAAATTGGACAAAATCGGCTAACGGTTGGATAACTTAGAGTAATGTTGACTAATCGAAAAAGAATATAGTAGAATTGAGAACGCATGTAACACTTAGAGTAGATTAACCAATTTTTCCGGTCTTAACACTTCAAATTGGATTTTTCGATAGGATTTGCTTGTTTCTTAGACAATAAAATTGGGGATTTGTACCACTCCTTTCAATTCATAGCTTTTAGATGCTCTATTTTCCTTTCACAACTTGTCTTTCTCCTGGTCCCTGAATTTAATTTAGTTAGACATTCACATTAATTGTAGACAATCGAAGTACAGTGTCACTCTTATGACCGTTTAGATGCAGAACTTCTTGGGCTATTTTGCATCTCGAAATAAATCGACCAGCCAATATTTTTCTGGCAATGTAATATAAAACGACAATTCATGTGGAACTTCCTTACACGTTACCTTCTACGTAGCTTAAGTGGACCCATATGAAAAGCCAGTAAAACATTTGAATGGTTAATATAGAGAAAGAAAATTCAAAAATGTTGCAAATGAATGGGACATAACACCCCCTCCAAAAAAAAAAAGAATAATAATTATTAAATTTAAATAATAATATGATAAAATAAACCTTTAAAAAAAACTGAGAAAGTAATTCGTAAAATTGGAGGTAGGAAAATAGTGAAGAAAAAAGAGTGGTCGAAAGGTCCTCAACGTATCACCCTCTAAGCAATGATAGAATGTTTGATATGTACGACTAATTATTTGTGACTCAATTATCCTATCATTTTATTAAAGAACCATGATATGAGGGTTGCAAAAAGTGTTTTTAGGGAAGATATTAGAAATAAATGACATGTTAAGTGCACAATTATCATTGTCACACCTAACTAGTTGGCAAGCTATCCGCATTTTCTTAAAAAAAGAAAAAAAAACTACATATACACTCCTTCTATTACAATATAGTAATAATGAATAGTGAGTGATACATATGCTGGAAAAAAAATTATAAGGAAAACTAACTTGAGCCCCATGCTGAGTTTTAAAAATAAGTGGTTTGTGATCGCTCCTTGTTCATTTTCCTTATATTTTTTTCTGCACAAATCAATATCCATAATAATATACGTCTCGCGAATGAGGTGTTGGTTCAGTGGTAAAACCAGCCTTGTTCTCAAGAGGAGGTCATGAATTCAAACCCCCACTCCAGCAAGAGCAATTTATGCAGGTTATTGCAGTGAGCGTGGGTTTACCCATTTCTAGTGGGATTTCGCACATCACCTAAAAAAAATAAAAAATATAAGTCTCTATTAAGTTTAAGTGCTTCTTTTGCAAAATGATCCGCACAAAGATTATTTTCTCTGGAAGTTTGTGCAAGAATCTATTCCAAACTATCATCCAAATATGACAAAGCAACTATACTTTGAATTAAATCCTTCAATTAAATTCGTATCATAAATTATACTCCTCACAATATGGAAAACAAGTCAAACTAATAAACTCACATTTCTATTCTCAATTTTTTGAGTTGTATCAAACTACATAATTAGTTAAATATACCATTGCTCCATCTCCACAAGAAAATCTAATATACAGAAGTTGTACTTACCTTTTTAGTACAACAAACTAATAGAAATTAACTTTTAATTTTTTCGGCCCCATGAATTTCTCCCCTCTCTTCCGTTAAAATTTTATTTTTTCCGTTTTTGTTTAGGATGTACAACTGACGTGGTACAGCGGTTGTACACTCCATTTCCACGCCCCAAACAAAATCTCCACATCACTCATTAATAAATTTGTCTTTTTAAGAGAAAATGCGATTACTTATTTTTGTCTTTTCATTTTCCTAATATATATATTTTTTTCAAATTATCAAACTATGAACTAAAAGATAAACTTCCCTTAGCTATCATGATTACTCTTTGGTATGTGTGTAGCAAATCTTTACATACTCATTCGTTTTTCCCCCAATCATTAATTGGTTTCTTACAATTAGGTCCCTGAGTGCTGTCCTGTCCGAATGATTGTCCCAACTTTTGAAAGTGAAAGCAACAGCGCTCAGTCAGTGACGACCATGGATTTTTTTTTTTTTTAAATGGTGCATGTTTATTAATTAATTAAAAATACCTAACATATTACATTATATTTTATTAAAAAGTAACATAAGACGTTCATGGACTTCTTGACTATTCTCTTTAATCATTTCACAAGACTAAAAATAGGAAATTAATGAGAGCAATAAGGAAATTAATTAGAGTAACAAGGAGGTAATTTCTTGAATTTCGGTAAGAATTAAAGTCGGCCTTAAACCACCAGTTAAGACTTCACAATCGATGTGGACTTTAATCGAGTGATATACAGATTTACAAAATCTATAATGCTAAAAGGCATGAGAAAGGGAGAGAGGACATTTATATCAATGGTCTTAAGTTGCATAACCATATCATGTTGTTACCATGGACTTGAAAAACAAAGGAATACAGTTAAAAATTTTGTTTGGTGTTTGGTAGCTGTTACACAGTTAAATCATGCCCTTTTATTCATCCTACTCTTTTGATTCATACCCACAAATTTTCCTTCAATAAAAAAAAAACTGTAAACACTTTTCATTACAATTTCCATTGGAGCTAAGATAGAGCTTCCCAAATGGAAAACAATGAAAACGAGAAGAAGATGAATGAGGAAGCTGCTGTTGCTTTTGACGTTGAAGCAAAAGGAAAAGCAGAAGATGATGAGGATGATGATGGAGAAATCCGACGAATTAACTACCCAGGAATCAAAGCCATGCCATATATTATTGGTTAGTGAAGTACCCAAAATCAATTTCTGAACACTAATCTGTTTGCTGTTTATGGGTAAAACTCTGTTTTCATGATTTGATGTGTGAAATTTGCAGGGAATGAGACGTTTGAGAAGCTTGGAGCGATTGGAACTTTGGCCAATCTGTTAATTTATCTGACAACTGTTTTCAACTTCAAGCGAATAACAGCTACAACAATCCTTAATGTCTTCAATGGCACGACCAACTTTGCAACCTTAATCGGCGCTTACCTCTGCGACACTTACTTCGGTCGGTACAACACTTTAGGATTCGCTTCCATTGCTTCATTTCTGGTACGTAAATTTGAAGATGAATTCGTATATTATGACTCTGCAAAATGCACCTAAACTAGTTATGGAAAACCCGATTGATTTCGAATCATTTTCGCGTGAACTCGCGATTTATACAGGGGTTGCTTCTGATCTCGCTGACAGCAGCAATCAAGACTCTGCATCCTCCTAAATGTGGTTCAGAGGAAACCCAATGCATCGGTCCAACAGCCGGGCAAGTGGCGGTTCTGTACAGTGGTTTTGGGTTAATGATCATCGGCGCAGGTGGGATTAGGCCGTGTAATCTGGCATTTGGAGCTGACCAATTCAATCCCAATACGGAATCAGGGAAAAGGGGTATCAAGAGTTTCTTCAACTGGTACTTCTTTACCATAACTTTTGCTCAGATGGTATCCGTGACATTGGTCGTTTATGTGCAATCGAACATCAGTTGGGCAATCGGGTTGGGAATTCCGGCCATTTTCATGCTGATTTCGTGTTTGCTGTTCTTCGTTGGGACGTATATGTATGTGATTGTGAAGCCTGAAGGGAGTCCATTGAGGAGTTTGACCCAAGTTGTGGTGGTTGCAGCTAAGAAGAGGAAGTTGAAGTTACCAAATGACCAGCCAAGTTCCACACTTTTCAATTACACCCCTCCTAAATCCATGAATTCTAAACTTCCTTATACAAGGCAATTCAGGTGAGTAATCCATGGCATTCTCTAACTTATGCGTATTAATCATGTCTCGTTTTTGCTTTAAAATGTCGTATGTGACTTTAAGCCGCCCAAATTCCGCTTCTAATCACGTTACAAATTGCTTCATTATTTCAGCATGATCAGTATTTAATAAATGAGAGAAAATATTTTTTATTAGTGTTTTTCTGAATTTTATGTTAAATCAGGCTCTATAAAATGATTAGACCATAACCTACTTACTTGAATGCTGATAACCTCAATTTTGGTCCACTTCAATGGTTCAGAAAGCATTCCAAGGGAGGGAAAGACGTAATTTGTTTTTTTTTTTTTTTTACTAGTGTCACGTCATAAAATGTGAGATAGGTCTTAACTAGGAAATAGTTCGATTGCACAATCGATAAGCTCATTATTATTATTATTTTTTTTTTGTCAAGACAATTGACAAATTTTCATTTAAACTAGCGAGATCTTATATCTTAGTTTTTATATAACAGTTAGAAAAATAATTTTATTCAGTTAAAAAATATATAAAACATCATGTTTGTTGTATTAAGTGTTCTTAAAAATAAAAAATAGAAAAAGAGTAGTTGAAGGCAATATACTATTAGATTTATCAATGAAAAATGCGTTTCATTAATAAAATATGACCATTTTTTTTTTTTTGTTTACTTGACGAGTGTCTCACTCTCTTGCCTTATGCCTAATTACTTGGCTGTCACATGAGGGGATGTTGATACTTGATAGTGCAAGTTGAATACTTTCACTCCTAAATGTGGAAGTCATATCAATTAGGTGTACTTAGTCACTGACTTTTAATACATTTCATCTTGATTTTTCCAAGCTAGAGATGGGAAAAAAAAAACTTCCAGTGAACTATTTCAGCAATAATTGACTCTTTTATAACCTAATGGATTACACGTTCACTACAAAGGACAAAAAGTTTTCCAAAGCGAAATGGTGTCTTTGATATCTCAGTGGATGATTAGTTGCATTGCATGTGGGCATGTTGCATTAGGTTATCATCTCCAATTCCACAAAAGAACGTTACATATGTCATGATACAGATATCTTCGATGAGATTTTCGGTCCCAACTTTTACGTGAGAATGAGTTTCATTAGTAAAGAGTCTTGTCCCAATGGAGTGTAGTAAAATGTCCTCGTTTTCATTTGAAAACATTACTTTTTTACTCACCTTATTTGTTTCAACTGGTAAATGCAAACTCATGATTTTACAGGTGCCTTGACAAGGCGGCAATCATAACAAAAGATGATGAAATCAAAGAAGATGGAACAGCGGCAGATTCGTGGAGACTCACTAGCATTCAGCAAGTGGAAGAACTAAAATGCGTGCTCAGAGTAATTCCAATCTGGGCTGCAGCCATTATCTATCATGTTGCCATTATTCAACAGCAACAATATGTGGTTTTCCAGGCCCTCCAATCAGATAGACACTTGGGAAAATCCAAGTTCCAAATCCCTGCTGCAACCTACACCATTTTCTCCATGTTAAGCCTCACTTTATTTGTACCTGTATATGACAGGGTACTCGTCCCATTTTTAAGACGAAAAGTGACAGGGAAAGATGGGGGCATAACCATCCTTCAACGGATGGGCATTGGGATATTCCTTACCGTCATTGCATCTCTAATATCTGCCTTTGTCGAACAAAAGAGGAGGATGTTGGCGATTACTCATCCGACTTTAGGGGTTCATTCGCCAAGAGGGGCAGTTTCTCCCATGTCTGCATTATGGCTTGTTCCTCAGCTTTCGCTTGCGGGTCTTGCTGAGGCGTTCACTGCCATTGGCCAGATCGAGTTCTACTACAAAGAGTTCCCTGAAAACATGAGAAGCTTTGCCGGATCTCTCTTCTTCTGTGGATTGGCTGCTTCAAGTTATGTGAACAGCTTTTTGTTGTCAATAGTGCATCATTCTACCGAAGGATCTCCATCTGGGAATTGGTTGCCGGAAGATCTTAATAAGGGGAGATTAGACTACTTCTATTTCCTTATCACTGCTCTTGGAGTGCTGAATCTTTGCTATTTTGTAGCTTGTGCAAAGTGGTATAGGTACAAAGGGGAGGGGGGTACCAGTTTGACAATTGAAATGGAAACTCAAAAGGGAGGGAAGGAGCCCTAATTTTAGTTTAGTTTTATAAGGCACTAGTCACGTCGTCGTCATGTAACTTGCAGTATAACATCTCCATTTTCGCATTTAAATTATACATCTGTTTCGCAAACTTCATCTTAACACTTGCAAGGCGAATCAAAAGAATCAATATACAGGCAATCTCATAGCTCCCCCCCTAAAAGTGTTGACTACTTCCCATGTTCAAAGGGAAGAGATTGCAACGACGTAGAAAATCTAGAAACAGTATGAAGTAATGGCAAAAAGGACAGAACTCGTGAGTAAAAACTTGATGGATATAAACATTATATTATGGCAGAGTATTCGTTAATTTATCCCAAAGTATGGGTTCTGGACTAGGCCAGAGAAAGGTATTATATGTTTTCAGAAGAATCCTACCAAAAGTGCTCAAACTACAATCAGTCAGTCCAACTGTGGACTGTCTGTCTCAAAGGGAACTCACAGTTTACATCTGGATTATGTTTCAGATTCACAAATTCACTCTCAGCAGACAGATTTGGGTTTCTCCTCATACGGTGTAAGCTTGTTGAATTGTGTCGATATCGAGACCCTTTAACCTCACAACGGATTCGACATGACCTTTAAGTGTATGCAGCTCACGTAGCCTGAGATTGAGATTTGAAAATTTCAACAATCAGGGAAGAAAACAAATAATCAACAAATAGGGGGACACCAATGAAGGAATGAAGAACAATTCCAAATCTAATCCAACGAAATCCTGTAAGACATTCAAAAAGGAGTACAAAAAAGCGCAAACAAATTAAAATGAGCAAGCAACAAAACAAGCATTGTCATTGGAATGGGATTTTGTTTTATCTTTTTAGTAAGCAGGATGTGATGTTGCAAAACTATGGTATCCATGGGAATTGATCAATGAGCTGAATAAACACACACACACACACACACACAACCCCCCCACACACACACACAAAAAAGGGAAAAAAGAGGGGAAAAAAAAGGAAAGAAAAATCTAGTAGAGAAGCTTAAACTCAAGCAGTTTGATGAAAATGCACAAAAGACGCAACAACATCCAAGATTATACTAGTACCAAAACCATTCATGGAGGTTATGAAGCCATAAGCACTTAATTTAATCTCTACCTTGCAATTTCAGCTCTCCTCTTGGCTTCCTCAGCCAGCTGATTAAGCTCGGTGAAATTTGTAGCCTCACTAAACAGTTTGGTATCAGGTACTTGTAGCCCGTGAAGAGTTCTTTGTGCATGTGCCCATTTGAGCTCACGTTGTTCCTTACCGAAGTCCTTTTTCCTAGTGAAAGCAATCTAGGCACAGGGGGGAAAGAGAAAAGAAAACCATTACAGACAAGTAATACAAAGTCAAGATAAGAGCGATTGAGCTGACCGAAATGCTGAAATATAACAATATAAAAACAATTTGTACCCTTTGCTCAAGAACAAGATCCCATGCTCTCCCACTAAGAACATAGCGAATGAGGAACTTGATAAGGTCAAGAGGAATGTAGAATATGAGATTGTACAGCCAAACAACTCCAGCCCAACCCCATCCAATTCCTTCAATTGCAGCAAAGCTCCAATTTGCATATACGGCAATAAGAGTAGCAACCTGATCAAGTGAATTGTAAGAAATATTTAAACATGGTCCAAAATTTCAAAACTGCAGCATATTCTCACATAAAAAAAGAATAACTCACTAGTTGCGCGATCACAAATGCTACAACAAGAAGCAAGCCAGGACGCTCAGCATATGACCAACTTCGAGACCTTGTCACAAATATCAATGCCTGACTTATAGTGCTCACTTGAAGATATATCGCTGATGCAAGCTTTCTGAAGTCATCATGTGCTGTCTTCTCAAGGGTTGACACCCCAAAAATTCGCTAGTACATAAAAAAAAAGAGCAATCAGGAACTCAATTCATAATATAAATAGTCACTGGAAAATTGAACTAATATGAACGGCAATTCCAAATTCAGCTGTAAGATTTTACTTGTAGATTTAAACATTAAAAATCATTAGGGCTCACTTTAACATGCACAATATCTTTGAAACTAGAGATATATCTCGAAAACACATCGGTGGGAAATGCATCAGTTTCCATGCAACGACAAATATGTCAATACCTACAGGACTGATCTACTTACAGGAAAGAAGTCAGTTTTATATGCCGCCCAAAAGAATATCACTGTCATCACTGCCAAATAACCTCCAAGAACAATTCCAGTTGCAAATATTTCAGCAAGTTTCCAGCTGTCTGGCAATGGAGATGGCTTCACCCTGTCCTTTGATATCGTCATGATTGTACCTGAAATCAAACAAAGGAATATATTCCAGTGTATCACATCTCAATCACAATTTTGGAGCACAATTGTTTTACCAGTTGTAGTATGTGGTGATAATACCATGTGAAGAATCAGAAAAATGTTTTTGCACACAGGATGAAGCATTCAGAAATCTATTTTCAAATATTTCTTATAAGCTCCATGAAGCACTAAAGGAAACATTACACCCAAACATAAATCTTTTAGTCCACTCTCACAATGATAAATAATCAAGTCTGTAGAGGAAGGTACAAATGGAGGAGCGAGTAAGTGGAGGAAAATAAATAATTTACCATCGTTAAGAATTGCAATAATAAGGACCATGAATGGAGGAAAATCAAACTGCCATATCAACGCAAGCAGCATGAAACCAAGCTGTCACATTGAACAAGAACAAAAGAGAAATCATTATACCTTTTGAAATCAACTTATTCAACCAAATAAACCTCCAAATGCAGAAAAATGGGAAAAAAAACTCAAATAACTTACCACTATACGAATGGTGATAGAAACTGCATAGATCTGGGAAAAATAGAGTCACACATGTTATAATCATTCAAAAAGCAATATGCAGAGGATATGTAACTAGAAAGGCAGCAGTTCTATCAAAGCAGAAATGACAGACTTTAGAACAAAATATTCTTAAATGCATACCGTATAATTTTTCATCCTCTGAAAGATAGCTCGACTGGTCAAAACAGCACTTATGATAACACTAAGACCAGGTTCTGTGAGCACAATATCAGAAGCGCTACGAGCTGCATCAGTTGCATCAGCAACAGCAATTCCTATATCAGCTTTCTTCAAAGCAGGAGCATCATTGACCCCATCACCAGTCATTCCACAAATATGTTTCCTTGCTTGCAATCGCTTAACAATTTCATATTTGTGCTCTAGGAGAATTATCAATAAAAAAGTTGGTCACTAGAACAAGAGATAAGAACCCATTTTAGTTTGCAGACAAATGATAACTGAAACATACCTGGGAAAACACCAGCAAAACCATCAGCTTTTTCAATAAGCTCGTCTATGGGTAATGCAGCAATGGACTCGTCCTTGTCCTGACCCAACAAAGCAGATGAGGGATACATGTTTGTTCCCATTCCCAAACGTCTCCCAGTTTCTTTTCCAATAGCCAGCTGATCACCTGGTATTCCAGTAATTAACAAGTTAAACTCCAAACATGATAATTTAATGGAGACAATAATGGTAACAACACAAAAAAGTGCAACATAAAAATCTACCCCATGAAAAGATTATAAAAACACATTTCTGATTTCCAGTTCTTATCTGTTAAAAGAAAATGTGAAAACTAGAAGCTGAAAGGCTAAGTAAACTAGTAGAATGTTATTTCGTAGCATAAGAAGGCCCAAGAGATTCTGAATATATGTCAAGCTATTAACAAATGAATGTTTTATTAGAACCAGAAGTCAAACAAAACAGAGGCAAAAGACAACAAAAACAAATTTATCTGATTGTGTGGGGTCAGCTCAGCTATAAGGAATGTAAGGTACCAAGAGAATGGCAACAGACTAATTTGAACATTTTTTTCCGTATCTACTCATCCAATAATCACAAGCAAAAGCAAAAGAAGCAGAGTCAACAAGCATATACATTCAAAGAAGAATCGAAATCCTGACATTTGCCACATAACAGAGTATTTTAAACGAATCCTTTAAATGGTAAAGAAAACGGCAAGCAAGCTAATGATATAAAAATCAAGTCAACCCTTTGATCCAATGCTAAATCAACCACAAATGTGCTCTATAAAACATGAGGTATCTGAGAAATCTTCTTGATTTCTCTGTCATATTTGTATGTCCTTTAACCTGTATCTCAATTTCTCAAAACTTTATTCAACTTTATGATGCAGCAATGAAATCAGAAAATCTGGATCAAGTTAAATCTTAATATACCAATAGTCCAGAAAATGTAACATTGGATAACTGAGACTTCAGTACAACCCTAGAAACAGGGAAGGGAGATCAAGAAGCAACTGCAGCAAATCTTTAAGGACCGGTGATTTAATGTAACATTCATGAGCAAATTTGTGCAAGAAGGCAGTAAACTGTATGCGAGGCAAGAGATTTTGGAGAATTAGATCGAACACCAAAAACAAAGTTTACAAAGGAGATTCTATTTATAAGGCTATTACTCATGGCTAGTGGTTCAGATCTAAAGGAAATTGGTTCTCATTTAAACCAAATTGCCGAGCCATGCTTCTCTTTTCAAACTAAATGTTTTCATGTTCCCAGAAAGCTTACCTACTACAACTTTATATGTTTCCAAAACAAATTTGAAAATGTTTTTAACCAAACTCAATCTACTTTCTTAATAAATCCAAAACGCGTTGCCCATATATTTTGTATAACATATAGGGATGAAACTAACACAAAAGCAACAGAAAGCTGGATGCCAACCATATATTTTGTATGACATACAAGGATGAACTTAACACAAAAGCTACAGAAAGCTGGATACCAACTTGATAATAAGAAATCTTGAGTCCTGTCATTTCATTTAAGACCTAACATAATTGCTACACAACACCAGATGCCACTATTGCTGACACATTTCAACCATGGCCGAAAGTAAACGCTAATATTCATAATTTAAAACTCGCACGCATAGATACCTAACAAGCAAACAAAACATTATGAAATGACGAGTAGCAATAAAATGTCCTACAAGGTCCCCAAGACAAATTCTTAAACCTTTCATTCCCCCCAGTTGTATCCTGAAATATTAAGAGTGCCTGACAAAGGATCGTCCTCCTACGCAATTATTTTTAATATTACCCTGCCACTCTAACGTATCAAATATGACAATTACGTTTGAAACAAAACTATTGAGCACAATTCCAATGTTAAACAATTGTGCTTGAAGTCATGAAGGAAAGCACCTGTAATCATTTTAACATTTACTCCCAGATTCAGAGCCCTCCTTATAGTCTCCGCACTATCATGTCTGGGTGGATCAAAAAGAGGCATAAGACCAACAAATTGCCATGGGCCTCCAGCACTTTCCTTCCTACCCTCTGGAACTTCCTGTCCATGTAAAAACAAGAGAAACACATAAGGATAATATAGGTGAGTTTCTACTCTTCATCAAGGCAACATCAAATAAATATTCATATCACATGAACAGAATAAGAGAACAAAATTACACGAAATATTTTGTAGGATGGAGCCAAAATTTACCTGGTATGCAACAGCAAGCGACCGCAATCCTCTTTCAGCAAACTTATCAATCACGGCATGAACCCTCCGCTCTATTTCTGACTTATTATGTGCGAGATTAAGAATCTAACACCCAAATTCAACGATGGTTAGAATCCTCAACTCCTGTTATAGCACTAGTTAACACTAACATGATCACTAGTGAAGAACTGAATACCTGCTCTGGTGCACCTTTGCTGACTCTATGCATTTTCCCTTGGCTGTCCAAATAAGTTAATGCTGTCCTCTTGTCAGTCGGATTGAAAGGAAGAAAATGTATTTCTTGAATGCCAGCACGAGCCTGTCCATGGTAATTTGAGAAACTGGAGAATACTGCAAAAGAACAGCGGCAAGAAAAACTCCGAAACGTAATTTACCTCCTTTGGATCGGCGAGCATTCCTACTATAGCAGCATCTATAGCATCCTGATTTTCAGTCCGAGAAGCCCGAGCAGCCATCAACACAACAGTGTCTGCATCTATGCCTTTGGTAAAAACCTGAAGGGAAAAATAAGGAACTGAATTAAGTACATGGGAAAATGAGGATCTCCACCTATGGCGAATGATATTGCCTTCCTCACTAACCTCAATAAGATTTTTATCAACTGTAAGCTTGTTTAGTGTCAGAGTTCCAGTCTTATCACTGCATAAAACGTCCATGCCAGCCATTTCTTCTATGGCCGTCATTCTCTTGGTTATAGCTCCCTGTTAAAACAGAAACCATTTGGTAAGATGTACAGAGATCTAGAAAATGAACTGTCAGTACAAGGAAATAATCCATCACCTGTTGAGCTAGACGGTGAGAACCAATAGCCATAGTCACCGAAAGAACCGTCGGCATGGCAATAGGAATTCCACCAATGAGTAGCACAAGAAGATTGTCAATTCCAGGACGATAAGGTCGATGTTGAATAGGATACATCACAATAATCTCAATTATCATCCCAATTGCAATGGAACAAATGCAAAAGTTCCCAATGGCCGTTAAAACCTGACAAAGATAGCAGAGTATCATAAAAGTAAGATAATTGTTCCAAAAAAGGATAAGAAAAAGGAAATTAACACTTGCAGACACCCAGAGCCTTCACAATAATAAAGCATTTGGAGAGCAATATTATAGATTATTGAAGCGAAAGTCCATATGCTTGCCTTCTGGAAGTGGCCCACTTGATTAGTGGAATCCACAAGGTGAGCTGCCTTTCCAAAGAAAGTATGAACCCCAGTAGCAATAACTACAGCTTCGATTTCTCCTTGCTTGCATGTGGAACCTGAATAAACCCCATCTCCAGGCCCTTTTGTGACAGGTAGTGATTCGCCAGTGAGAGCAGACTGCAAATTCGCCAGTGACAGGTCCTCATCAGTCAGAATAGAACACATAGACCATAGGAAAATGCAGGGCCAAGCAATCGAATCTGGAAATTAACCTGGTCAATTTTCAGGGGATCTCCCTCCAGCAGGCGAGCATCAGCAGGAATGATGTCACCAAGCTTTACACTGATTATGTCTCCAGGTACCAGAACAGCTGCATCTTCCTCACTCCACCTTCCATCTCGAAGAACCTAAACAGAAGAATGAATATCAGTACATAATGTGCAAAACATTTGAATTTTCAGAAACTTCCTTGTGAAGATAGATGCAAAGAGAAAGAGTAAAATTCAAGACAATAAGGAAGGAATGAATCAGGATCCGCCACCTTGGCTTTTGGAGCTAGACGAGCCATGAGAGCAGCTGCGGCGTTGCCAGCATTGTTCTCCTCAATGAAACTAATTGTAGAGTTGATCACAAGTAAAGTAATGATACCAACAAAGTCTTGCCAATCAGGAGGCTTCCCCTGCAGAATATGACACAAAGCTCAAACATGAACACCATACATATAACAAGAATATAAGCAATTCAAAATTCCAATAAAACGAGTTCTTACTCCTCCATTAGCAAGTGCAATTGCCATAATAGCAGCAGCCTCCATGACCCATGAAAGAGGGTTCCACATGAAACCCAGGAACTTCAGGAATTTGCTCTCCTGAAATACAGATGCCAGCCAGAATCAGGACACATTTCAAGTAAATATACAAATCATGAGCGCCACATATAAACTCAACAAAGAAATTCAACAAATTTTCCCAACATAAAAAGCAACAAATTATCTGCATTCTAAACAGAATATAGGAAGAATCAACAGAACCCATTATGCTGAACTAACGGAAAACTAGGAACTTGTAAAAACAAGTTGCTGAGAAACAGAATACCTTCTTCTCCTCAAGCTTGTTGTGCCCAAAGATTGCCAATCTTTCTTGAGCACCCTCACTGGTAAGACCTTCCTTTGTACATCTTAGATTTTCGAAAACTTCCTCAATAGGAATATTTTCCTGAAAGAAATTTCATCAAAATAAATCCCATCAGAAAAAAGAAAAACAAACCCAAATGAGATCATCCAAAGAAAACCAGAAGGAAAACGAAAAAAAACCAGCTTCCTTTAAGCTCACAGATCCATTACCAAATCCACTGTTTCCTTCACGACAGCTTCCAAAACTTCAGGTTTTTCCCCCATCTTCGAACTAATCAAACTTCCTCCTTAATTCAGACTTCAGCTTCTTTCAATCCACACTCTTCCAACTAGAAACCAAGAATTAGATCAAAGCCCATTCAAGAAAACCACCAAGAACTGAGAGAGAACCCAGAAAAAAAAACTAAAAAAACAAGAGCTAACAGAAAAAAAGCCTGAAGAAGGAGAAGAAGTACAACACGAAACCGAAAAACGAGAAATACCCAGTTGAAAAGATATGATTTTTGATAACAAAAAGGAAAATGGATTTGAAGAAGAAGAACCCAAAATGAGGCCTACCCACCAACACCAAATCTACAAGGAGTGGAACCGCTGAGAGAGTAGAGTTGTAACAGTTAAAAAAAAGTTCATGGCCTTTTGTATTTTTCCATTTTTCCTTTTTTTTAATTCAACAATATCCCACTCTGGAAAAACAATAAACTAATCAAGCAGAAAGTGTATGAACAACAAAAATGTAAGGAATTCCTCCCATATTATCCATAAAAGAAAATAAAAGAAAAGGAAACTTTTTCAGTTCTTCATTTATTAAGCCTATTAAATTTTCCTACACATTAACACTGTAACATTAGTGAAATCTTAAACCCAACAAAAAAAAAACAAAGAAAAGAAGGAAAAATTTGTAGATTGTCCGAATTTCTGGGGGAAAGGAAAAGAGAGTCACAGGTAGTCAATTTGTTGATGTAACTCCTTTGACTGTTTAGTAGTAGTAGTGTTATTATTATTCTAATAAGTGAAAATTTTAATAGTAGTATTATTATTATTAAACTGAAGGATGAAAAAATAAATTTAAAATTGAAGGAATAAGAAATTTACCAAATGGGTTTGACTGACAGTCTTCAAGAAGACGTTTAAGTGTCGTGTTTGTTTTTTTGCGCTAATTGCACGGATCCTTGCTGTACATGTACGACATTTCCGGTCCTAGTATTATGATGATGATGATGATGATGATGGTGTATGTACTTATAATAATATAGTCATAGAGAAAAAAGATGTTTTGGACAAAAGCTATCAATTATTGGAATATTTTGGTTCTAACATTTGTATTTCCACTTTCTTTTATTGGTAATCTTAGTCACACGTAAAGAAAGTTATGTTTTTCACTTTTGATGATACTCCCTCCATTTCAATTTGTAGGTCGTTTTAAATATGGAGATATTTTTCAAAATGTAGGTCGTTTTACAAATCTAGGCAAATTAATGACTATTTTTCCAACTTTACCCTCAACAAATGATGCCAACTTTATAGTTCCAATGTAATTAACCAGGGGTAAAACAGATATTTGATATATAAATTAATTGTTAGATGATTGTCTCCTTAGTATACGTGCCAAGCCTAAAGTAACTTACATTTTGAAATGAAGGGATTGTATGTTAGTGGTGTAAAATGTGAATTATTTTTCTTTTCTTTTTAGAGAACTATATATAGAAGTTAGTTCGAAATTTAGTAAACCTTAATTGATTTTTGATACAAGAAATTTGATGGCCACTGGCGACGGTATATGTACATAACAATGGTTGCATTCAGATTTTGCATTATTGTGACATTTTTATACCTGTGATGAATTTTTTTAAAAAAAAGTATTGATTTTGAACTCTTACTGATACAGAAAATTTGATTTGAGTGTCATAATGTAATATTAATTTAGTTAGACTCTACATATTTTGAGCTATCACACTTGGTAAAACACGATAATTCATGTTCATCAAAATATATTGTCAGACTTATTCTATCTACCATCAAATATAAGAAAAAATTTGGATAAAGGGGGATGGAGAATAAATAATTAATAAAGAGGGTACTACTTTCGAATAATTTGTATTAGGAGCATAACAATTCAACCATACAAACATGGCTTTACATATTAAAAAATTTATTAATATCAATTTAATTACTTTAGAAGTTTATTAATTTATTTTTTTGTAAGCCTGATTGGTATAAGAATAGAGAAGCAGTTATTGATTAAAAAAAATTTAAACATAATAAATTTTGATATTATTAAATTTTAAAAAATTTTACTAATATAAAATATATGATATTCATTTTTTTGAACAAATATTTTAATTTAAGTGTTGTAAAATATCTTGTATGCCTCATTTACATATAAGGTTTTGGAAAAAGAATTTAGAAATTTGACTCATGTGAAAGCAAAAAATTATTTACTCTAATAAAATTAACATTATATGGAAAAAAATAAAACCACCTAATAAAAATTAGGAAATGTTAATCTTTATTTTAAATTCAACATTTATTTTCATATTACTGTTAAAATATTATCATTTATATATTTTGGAAACAGATTTTAATTTATGTATTAAAATCAAATTAAAAAAAAGATTTGATTTCAAGAGTTAGAATCATGTTTTCATTGTTAAATAATTATGCTCTTAATACAAATTATCCAAGAGCATGCCTTCATTATTAATTCTTTTTTATCTACTGCCCTTGACCCATTATATTAATAAATATTGCTTCAATTAAATTGTTTAATTGTTTGGAATTCACAAATTTCATTTTCTTTTCTTTTCTTTTTTTTTTAAGAATATCAATCAATACTTTTATTACTAATATTAAGAAGGAAATAAATTCATTTCATACATAAGCAAGTTATAAAAAAGTCGTAAGTTTAATAGATTTGAAATCTATAAAGATATGAACTATACCATAAATTAAAACAAATATATTTATGAGTAAAAAGGGATTATGTATTTAGTTTCCGTTGTTGAACACATTATGTAACCAAAACATGAAATCATGAATGTGAGATGTCTTTACCATAAAATGAAAAGTCCAAAAATATTCATTAAATCAAATTTAACTAAAGATTCAACCTGTGATGACTTTATTCCCGCTTTAAATCACTATCTACGTAATCCTCCACTAACTTTCAGGAAGAAAAAGTTCTGATTTCTTGAAAATAAATATAACTTTCAATAATTAACCTAAAAATATCATAACTTCACCTGCTATATTCGTTCGCCACTATATGTTCAAAAATAATTTAAGTCCCACCAAAACTTCAGCGTCTGTCTTTTTTCACTTTTCCTTCTAATTTTCGTCAAAAAGCCAATGAGGCATGACTTGCACGTGCCTTTGTAGAAGGGGCAATTATGTCATTTAAGTACGTGCAAGGCAGAAAAAAATTAAAAATTGACCTAGGTCATGGTCAAACCCGTATGACCCGTATCCATTAAAAAGGAAGGAAAGTTTTTGGGCAATTGAGGCGGGAATCACATGCAAGACCACGTGCAACAAAAAAAAAAAGAATTTATTTTGTCTGAAACATATATACTCCAAAAGTCAGAAAACGGTCAAACAAAAAAATCGAAAAGGGAAATACACATCTTCGGGATATGGGGGAGAAAGGGCGAAAATTCTAGGGTTTTCAATTTCATACCTAAAATTGAAATTTTAGGGTGCAAATGGGGAGTTTTGGATAATTTAGGAGTTTCGGCGGAGAAAAGAGATTACAAGTTAGGGTTTATAAGGTCAGATCTGTGGCATTAGATTGGTTTTCTTCATAAAAGGATATAAAGATGTTGAGGTGGAGGGATTACATTCCGACGGAAGCCGATGGCCAAACTCCCATTTACGGTATGTTTTTGGGGTTTCAACATGATATATGCGTATGGGAATTTCTGGGTTTAGGGTTATTTCATGTTTTATTACATGCGGGGTAATTTCATGTGGGTTTTCATGTATTATTGTACTAGGGTTTCTGGGATTCTGAGTTTATTTTTTTGAAAGTTGTGTTGGATCTGGGATTCGAGTTTTATATTATCTGCAGAGTGTTTTGTTAGTGAAATTTGTACATGTCGGTTTATGGGTGTCAAGTTATGTATTAATTATTATCTGAGTTCAGGGTATGGGGATTTTTTATTTTATAAAAGTTGTGGTTTCAAAATTTCAAGTACATAAAGGACTTCAAATGGATATTTTTTGTTCCTGTTTTGTGAAACCCTAGAAAATGGTGGTTTATATATAATTATGCTTTGGTTGTATGTGATTAAACATATTTTGTAGTTTGTATAGCTGTGTTTGTGTGTTTTTTTGTGCCTTTAATGATATAAAATGTCCTGTTAACATATAAAACAAAGTTGGTAACCGAATTGTATATTGTTTAATGCTTCTGTGAAGCACCTTTATTAGAAGGTGGTCACTAATGTAATTTTTTTTTTTGGCCAGTTTATTTTCAGGTGAGGATTCCAATCTGATTACAGTTAAGCTTTGCCATGGGGGTGGGTTTGTTCTGCAAAATAAGTACAATTATGTGGAGGGTGAAGTTGAGTACTTTGACAAGGTAGATTCTGCGATGCTTACAAAAGTGGGGCTGGAAACCCTTGTTGATAGGACTAAGTATTGCAGGCCACATAAACTTTATTTTAAGGATCCAAATGTGGAAAGGCATGGAGGATATAGAGTCATTGGAGGGGATAAAGATGTTTATGACTTGATAGCATTGAAGAATGAATCTGGGATTGTTGAGGTGTTCAGGTTAGGGGCGAATGAGTTCGATTCTTTCATGAAAAAAGGTCAGCAGGATAATCTAATATGGGATTCTGAAGATGAAGAGGCCAATGATTCAGATTATATTGCTGGAAGTGATTATGAAATGTCTGACATGGATGATGAGGATTCCAGAAAGTACGTTGATGATAGGGTTGACTCTACACTATGGTGTTCTTTTCAGCAACAAGCTGATACAAATCATGCAGAAGATATGAAGGGTTCAAATGGGAGTGAAGCTAATGATTCGGATGAAGATTATGGGTCTTGTGATGATTTATTGAGTGAAAATGAATCTGAGGATGAAGAGAGTGAACGTCCAGTGAAGACGGGCAAGGTCTTTAACCCTACAACAGACATGAAGAATCCCAAATTTGAGCTATATCAGAAGTTTGGAACTAAGTGGATTTTGCTGGATGCACTAAGAAGGCATGGAATTATTGATCGGAGAATCATCGACTTTAAGAAAAATGATAAGTTGTTTGGCATGGGAAGTGTAGGCATTGTAACTGGGAGGTTTATGGGGTTAAAATAGAAGGAGAGAATGAAAACACTTTCCAGATCAGGACTGCGAATACCAAGCATAGCTGCGGAAGAGTGTGGGGTACTAGAAACGTCAATTCCAACATAATTTCTGACTGGTACGTTCCAGATTTTGCTGATGATCCCAATATCAGTGTGAGTACATTGAAGTTTAGGGTAAAAAATGAGTATCAACTGACAATCTCCAGAACTCAGGCCTGGAATGCTGACAAGCCGTCGTCACACTAGTCAAATAATTAATTACCTACTTAATACAATTACTAGCAGTAAAGCAGAAAGTAGGGTCGATCCCACAGAGAAGGTTACCAAGTACCGGTTAAAATTATTTCTTATTATTATTTAGATTAATAATTTATCAATTTAAACTAATCTAAACCTAAAACTAACAATTACAATTAATTTAAGATTTTACACAAATAAAAGAAAATCTAGGGCAAAGGGTTCACCTACCAACTACTCAGTTTAACTCAACGTATAGATATGTGACTTTAGACTTTCATTAATTTCACAACGATTCACCTATTTAAGAACTATTCACTGTCGTGATATAATTCTCTTACTCAAACTAACCTATGGCTACTATTGTGACTTTAGGATTTAATTAGAGTACATTAAGAACCCTAGAATCTATAGTTGCAAAGACGATGTTCATACTTTCGTGGCCCACTATCTAAGTTTAATATTCCGACGAACTAGTGCTAACCTTCAACCGTCGTTCCTTCAGTTAAACACCTTTAAAGAAGGCAAGTGGTGATCAAATACTCACATGGAATAAAAACAAGAATATTAAATATCAACTAATGAAAAAGTCACAATCATGAATTAAACTAAATTAAATAGTACGGCGGCTACATCCAGAACCCTAGGGAGGTGGTGCTGTCTCGGCGGTGAAGAGGCAGAGGAGATGGTGATGATGGCTTTGATGGTGAGCTCGGTGATGATGGTGGCGAAGAGAAAGGTTGCGTGGAATTTTGGGGCTGGGGAGAGTTGATTTGGTGATGAGGCGTAGGGGGCTGATGGAGGCGTGGAGATGGGGAGAGGTGATGGGGCTGCCGGTGATGATAAAGAAGGGCTGGTCTATGGTGTTGGTGGTGATTCGACGGGCAGCAAGGTGAGGTAGAGGTGGTGGTTATGGTGATGATGAAGAGTTGACGATGGTGAAGAGTTCAAAGCTGCCGCCGATGAAGGTGATGGGTCGACGGGGAGAAAGTTGCAGGGGCGGAGGAAGTTTTCAACCGTAGGGTTTTCGGTGAATTTTCGGTCAAGTTCGGTCCAGTCCTCCTGTAAAAATAAATCTCTAATCCTCCTTTTATAGGCTTCCGTCAAAACCCTACTTCTTGGAGAGGAAGAAAACTTGTTTCCCAAATAATATCGGGATTAAAATTCTTACCCAATTCCAATCCCAAATCAGCCACAAGTCATTGAACTCTCGGCCAATTTTCCGAAAACCAAACAAAATTCCGAAATTGCTTGTTTAATTCTCCAATTTTTCAAGTACTTCAATTTCTTCCTTGCCAATTTATCGAATCTTCAATTCTTCCTTTAAGTTACTTTTATCTTCATTTTAGCCCAAAATTTCAACAATTCCTCCAATTGAGTATAATTCCTACAATCAAATATAAAGTCACATAAATAGTACATTTGTACTCAAAATATTGGTAAAATTTCACATAAAGGAATATTAAAAATAGGTAAATTATGAGCATATCAAATGCAAAGAGAAAGGCTTTGGAAAAGGTTCAGGGAAAGATTACTGAACAGTATGCTGAATTAGAAAGCTACATGGCTGAGGTTAAAAGGTCTAATCCTGGGACATCCATTCAAGTGATATGTGAGGATGATGAACTTGATAGGTTCAAGAGGTTATACTTGTGTTATGCAGGCTGCAAGAAAGGGTTCAAGGAAGGATGCCAGAAGATTATTGGGGTTGATGGGACATTTTTGAAGACACAGTGTAAAGGGATCCTCCTAACTGCAGTAGGATTCGACGCAAATAACAACATCTATCCGGTTGCTTTTGCAGTAGTTGAGAGTGAAAGCCAGGACAGCTGGGGCTGGTTTCTGGCCTGGCTGATAAAAGATTTTGGGATCACAAACACTCCGGATTAGGTTATTATATCTGATAGGCAGAAGGTAACCTTTTTTTTTTTGTAACTGGTACTTATGAAATGTTTGTTTATTCTGGTTTTGCTGTTTTGCTGTTTATTCTGGTACATTACAAGAGCATATTTTATAACTGGTAATAACAACCTGTTTATATGTTTTTGTTATAAGGTCTAATTCTAGCTGTGAATGATGCATTGGGAAATGTATCTCATAGGTTTTGTGTGCAACACATGTGGAACAACTTTAAGAAGGAGTTCCTGGGGGTCAAAATGAAACAGAAAATGTTTAGCATTGCTAAGGCCACTACTCCCGAACTTTTTCATAAACTGATGGATGAACTGAGAGTGGAAAATGAAGGGGCATAGGAATGGCTAAGCAGAGAAGAAGCTCATCACTGGTGTCGGGCATTCTTTGAGCTTGTTACCAAGTGTGATATGCTTGTTAACAATATTTGTGACGGGTTTATAGAGCAATACCTAGTGCTAAAAAGCTTGCAATCAGAGGTATGCTTGAGTGGCTTAAAATTTATTTGATGAAAAGGCATCAGAAGAAGAGGGAATGGATTCAGAAGAATTATTTTGTGGTTGGGCCAAAGATTTTTGTCAGATTCGAGAGCTCGTCGAGCCCATTCGAGCCTATTATAAATTAATTTATTTTAAATATGAATAATATTTAATTCGTGATTTTTTTTATTGTCATTTATATTTAGAAGATGTAACAATAGGATATACATATTTTTTATTATTGTCAAAGAATTTTATTCATAAAAAACATAAATTGAACGTGTTGAATTGAAAGATACGACAATCTTTAGCGAACAGAAAAAATCGAGCCAATCGAGCCGAGCGCGAAGTATTTGTTTTTATTTCGAGCCAAACTCAAACTTCAAGTTAGATGTTCGACCGAGTTCGAACTCATATTCGAGCTCCAAATTTTTTGTCGAACTCGAGATCTAGCACCTAACTGTTTAGGCTTGACTTGGTCGTTGACAGCCCTAGGGTTATCCAGTTTGAACACAAGAACATAAAAAATACGCAAAACCATTTATAAGCCTAGATTAATACTGACTCTATTTAGTTTGTTTAGACTGAAAGAAACTCTCACAACACAATAAACAGAGCCAAAATACTGGTTCAAGATCTTACACAACAAGGAATTTTAACCTTGCAAAATTACTCAATCTACCCCACCTAGTGCAATTGGAACTTCAATCTACTACTTCTTACATTGTACGACCAACACAAGGAAAAAAATCATGACATTAAAAACAAACCCTACAAATAAACCAAACAGAATTGAATCCAATTTCGATTTGCACTTGCAGTATTCAAGCTTGGGTTTCTTCCCGACAATTTCGTAATTCCCCGATACAAATTCTTGACTAATCTGCTCCATCCCGTCCTCTTTGCCTTGACTATTTTGCTCAATTCCATCTTCCGATTCATCAGTTATGAAATTTCTTCTGCAAATCCCTTGTGAAGTCGACCCAGATTCGGTGTTGGTGTGATCAAACCATTTCAAAAACCCATGAAAACATCTATAATAGAGACGCCCTGGATTATCATGAGAAGCCGATGGAATTAGGATGGCTTTCCTCTGACATTTGCCACAGTTTAAATTCTCTGTCACCATTTTTCCAAAAGAGACTGTTTGACTATGATTAGTCATAGGCAGCAGAATCTACTTTCAGAGGTAAACGATTTGCGGCAAAAAGTTTGGAGAGAAGATTGCTTTCCGGCAGCGGCGTCAACAATTCCTTCTGCTTTCCACCTGCGTTGGCGTCGGTGAAAATTTCTGTCAGGCGGCGCTGTCGACGATTCCTTCTGCTTTCCACCTGCATCGGCATCAGTGAAGATTTCTTTCCACCGGCGGTGTTCACGATTCTTTCTGCTTCACAATTTCACGAGTTTGGATTTATTCCTTCTACTTCACAATTTTATGATTTCATCCGCTGGCGAGTCCAGATTCATCACCATCATTGGGCCGGCCCACTACTTGGCCTTGGGGTCGAGGCCTTCCTGATGTGGCGGTCTATTATTGTTAACCTAGTAGAAATCGGATTTCTCCCAAGCCTATAAATAGGGACCCTTATTCCACACTAAAGGTACGCTATCTCAACTATCATATCATCATACAAGCAACCCTACTTTTCTAACTTAAGCTTCGGAGTATCTACCCTCGGGAGACGGCCGAGGCTCTGTTTTGCAGGAAACCCTAGTTGGAGTTCCACCCTATACCGACGGTGCAAATCCAGGAATCGTCAAGTGGCACACCCAGTGGGACCCGAAAACTAGGGTTTGTGTCACCAAGCTTCTTCAAGCTTTTTTCAAAACCTTTTCAAGCCGCTTCCAACGACCAAAAAGATGGCGGGGGCCGACAGTCCCCGATCCAGTGCCGCGTCAACCGGCCGACAGGCGGGCCCCGAGGACGGTGAAACTTTGGCGCACTTCCAATGGAGACAGAAACGAAAAAGGAATGATCGCCAGAACAAAAAAGAAACCACTCCCGTCAAACCGACCGACCAGAATCGTCACCATGAAAACCCCGATTCATACCAAAACCAGCGGTTGGCCGAGATCGAAACGGAACTAAAACAGTTGAAGGATGAAAATTCCCTCAACCAAAGGAGGAAGAAATACATGCTCGAAGAGTACAGACGCTGTTGTTTGTTGGGACTTCCCGACCCAACGAAACAAGAGATAGAGGAATTAATCAAGGAAAAAGAAGCAAAGAGAACTCAGAACCTCCTCGAAATCAGAAGGGGCAAGCGTCCAGCAACAAACGGAGGGGAGGATCGAACTCGCAGAGAAACCCTCTCTCGAGAAGTTTCCTCCGATGAAAGTTCCGAAACCCGCGGGGATACTTTCTGGGAAGCACTCGAAAAGACAAACCCAGTGGTTTACCAGGCGATTATTCAGTTTGCACAAGAGTACAAGCAGAAGAAACAACCTCCTAGACAAGATCGCCAACAGTCACCTAGCGTCGAGGAGTTGCCCAGGAGAGAGTGGGAACCACCCAGAAGAAATGCCCACTCTCGATTGGAACCAAAGCAGACGCGAGAGAAATCACAACATGGCCACCGTCGAGGAGGAGACCCTCCTCCCCGGGGTCAAGATAACAAGAGTAATCGAGATCTCTTGATTCGAGATTCGATGCGTAGGATGATAGGAATGATCGTTGACAGAAGTCCTTTCATCCCCAGGATTCGAGACTGCCCGAAACCCAAAGATTTTGACTTTCCCAAAGACTTCACTGTTATGTGGGATTCGATCCTCAACGATTCCTCAATAAATACGTGCAAGTCATGAGAATTCGTAATGCATCCCTGGATTTCATGGCAAAAGCTTTACCATCATTCTTGGACGGGCAGGCACAGCAGTGGTTCGGACAGTTACCAGAGGGAAGTATTGACAGCTTCGAGGATCTCACGGTGAAGCTAGCCACCAGGTTTTTCCTCAGCAAGCAGGTCACGAAAATGTCCGTAGATTTGTCCTCCATAAGACAAGGACCAAACGAAAGCCTTTCGGATTTCCATCGCCGCTTCACCCGTGAGTCTCTCCAAATCGACAATCGAGGCTCTATCCTCTTTATTTGACAAAGCTTCACAAAACCAAGGACGGCCGTGACTAGGTTTGGAGTAAATCGAGCAAGCGGGATCTTATAATACTAACCTACCAAACAGAGGGTGAAGGGGGAACCGTAGGCCGAGAAACATCGACCTCTCGTATACAGTGATTGCCCCCTCTGGTGGATTGTTAGCCCTCTCAGTCCCTACGGGAGCTCGATAATCTAGATCTATGGTGAAGTTATATTTTTCAGCAATAAAATCAGCCTTTTCAGAAGAATCTATGGTCGATGCAAAATCGGAAACCGTTTGAGACGCCATACCTATCCTAGTATACGCAAGTCTAACCAAGTTCAGGCAAAGCAAAATATACGCACCAACAAACAATAATAAGAGTGTCCAGAGGTTAGAAGACTTACGTATGAGATAATGCTCTTTGGTTGGAGCCT